ACCAGAATCGAACCTGGGACCCTTCAGTCCGCAGGCCGACGCTCTGTCCACTGAGCCAAACCGGTTAGGGCAGAAAGAAACTTCTGTTTGTCAATTTAAAGTAATTCAGTTCCTTCTGTCCTAAAAAGTCATTTTTGGGATAAAGACTCAAACTTAACTGTCTCTCATAATCAATTCCACTGTCTCTCACGGTGTCTCTGCTCTCCCTCTTCTTTCGCAGTCCACACTGGGGCGCATGGAGACACTAGGATAGCCTCATTGTTTGAAAGAGGAGTGATTGGCACACTGTCTCCGTTCAGACTTTCTTCCCTGCTTTTCTCGGAGCATTATTGTTTTTGTCCTTGTGCCTCTGCCCGTGAAGTGACCCTGGCTGGTATGGCTTGTGGTCTGTGTTCCTGGCACAGGCAGGGCATGATGATTGCTCTCAAGGAGCTTGGCTGTCTCCCTGCTGACGAGGCCCAGCTTTGTTCTTGATGGTGCTAGAACTCTCCTGAGAGGTGACTCCCATTCATTTCCCAGCTTAGCTCAGTCTTTAGGTTTGGATGGCAGGATCATTTGCCATTGCCTGTATTAATCTCATGGCAAGCTCATCCATAACCTTAGCAACCTTCTGCATGATCCACTAGGGGGTACCTGAAAAATTCTGGGTCTTCTATGTACCACATGGGCATTAAGGAAGACTAGGGATGTTATCTCTTTCTCCTATCAAATCAGCATCATGCCACTCTTTCTGTTTTCTTCGAGCTTACCCCATGTTGGTTGGGGTGGTACCCTGCAAGGCCCTCTGTTTCCGGGGTGCTAATGTAAAGCAGGGCACAAGCTCACTATACTTTTGGCCTCAAGCTATCTCTTCAGTGGGGATTTTCCTTAAAAATTAAAACTTCCTTTTAGTTTTGTTAGAGCCATTTCTCGATAAAAGTGTTTTGTTTTTCTTTCCTCATGTCAATGAAGCTGGCTTTCCTATATATTCAGAGGACAAGTTTAGAAATAAAAAACTGAACATTGGCTCTTTGTTTTTGCATTTCTGCTAGAACTTTTCTAGTTTTGCCCCAGTGTATTGACTGCTTCTAGCTAAATAAGGCAAAGGTCACATACGAGAAGCTTTAAAAGAGAAGTGCATAAATATATTTTTAAATGTTTTTACTATAGAATATATAAATTGTAGATTGTATTAATATGTGGACATTAATTATTGATATTTTTTTGTTTGCTTTTCTTTTCTAGAGAGCTGCTTTTGCACATTTCCCTGAACTCTATGATTTTGCCCTCTCAAATGTGGCAGAAGTAGATACTCGGGGATCCTTGGTCAAGTTATTTGGACCTCTTAGGTAAGGTAACATGAAAGGAAAACAGAATTTTAATGTTTTCTTTTGTAGTACTTTAGGAATGTTACTTGCTGCCCTATTTATTGACAACCAGAACTAGCTAGTGCTTCTCTAGCATCTGGTATCTTTGAGTGACCTATATATAATTATCCATCCTTTTCTGCTCTTTGTAAAATTTATGTTTTTCATAACATACAGTTTCCTAGATTTTAATTTTTTCTTAGACTATAACATAAACCTGGTATCCCATCAGTCATAAACAATATACAACAGAAACCAAAAATGTTCATCATTATACTAGTCCCCTCTTATCCACTGTTTCGCTTTTTGTGGATAAAAACAGAAACACTCAATGGAAAATTTCAGAAATAAACAAATCATCCATTTTAAATTGCATACTGCCCTGCTTCGTCCTGCCTGGAACGTGAATCATCCCTTTGTCCAGCGATCCTTGCTGTATACCTGTTAGTCACTTAGTTGCCATCTTGATAGCCAGATTAACTTTTATAGTGTTGAGGTGCTTGTATTTCATTGTTATTTTAATTTATGCCCCAAAATGCAAGAGTAGTGATGTCAACAATTTGAATATGCCAAAGAGAAGCTGTAAATTACTTCCTTGGTTTAATAAGAAAGAAAGTGTATGCTAAGGTTGCTAAGGTCTTTGAACCTTGAAATTGTGAATTTTGAAACTAAAGAAGGAAAAAGAAATTCATGTTAGTTTTGCTGTCTCACTACAGACTAAAAATTATGGCCACAGTGCATGATAAATGCTTAGTTAAGATGGAAAAAGCCTTAAGTTTCTGGGTAGGGGACACAAACAGAAAACGTTTTCCAATTGCTGTGCCAGAAAGCATTGAGCCTATATGAAGACGTCAGCCAGGGGTCCCCTGAAATGAGTGACACCAGGGCATTTACTGCAAGGAAGGGATGGCCAGACAGATTCAGGAATAGGCTTGGACTGATATAAACATTCCTGGAGATGCTGCATTTGCCAATGAAGAAGCTGCTGCCATGGTTTTGGTAGAGTTGAAGAAGTTGATTAAGGACAAAGGTGTGTGTATGTATGTATGTACTAGAGGCCCAGTGCACGAAATTCGTGCAAGGGGCTCGGCCCTCGCAGCCCCGGCTTCATCCAGGTTGTCCGGACGGTTCAGATTTTTTATTTTTGCCATTATTCAAGTCTGAATAGCCATCATTTGTCAGTTCTTTCAAATAAGCAGTATACAAAATGTAGACCTCCCATTCTATCACAGAATTTTTAAAAAAACAGATACTCATGGGTCCAAGTTTATAACTGCTTCATCAGGGACATTCTTAAAACTGGGGTTTTGTGGTTTTGTTAAAATTGCGTGTGGCATGCAGAATGCTATAACTACTTACAGTACCAGTTGGTGCCACTGCCTTGATCTGTGCCAGCAGCTTTGACCGCCATTGCTTTGCACTGTCACTGTATATGTAAAGACGGTGAAAAAATATTGTTTAGTATGAATATAAAAAAGTGTAGTCATTGCAGACTTCCTGAAAGGACCTTCTCAGGGACCACAACAGGTTTTCAGAAAACACTTTGAGAACTCTGTATTAGGGGCTTTCATTGCTGATATTTTATATTTGCTACTCATGTTACAGGACTATATTTTCTAGGTAAAACTTTTTAAACGATCTATAAAATTACATATTTCAGAAGTGAAGTAAGTTAAAATATTCTGATTTGAATTTTCTCTATTTTGCAGTTCAAATACACTCCACCAGGTGGCATCATACCTCTGCTTGTTACCAACTCTTCCTAAAACTGAAGACACAACTTTTGATAAAGAATTTCTTCTAGAATTCTGGTATAGTACATGTTAATATTCTTCAAACTTTGCACGTGGTTTTCCCTACCTGTTTTAATGACTTAAAAATGTAGATTGGTACATATTTTTTCCGGGCTAAAGATTACATACATAATTATGTTATCATTTGGTTTTATCTGATTTCTTTTCTCATCTATTGTATTTTTTCAAGTTTTTTACCTCTTAAAACTGCTTTATGGAATGGATTTGTTCCATGCAAACATGTATGAGCAACTCCTATATCAGGCAAGGGAGTCATGCACTGGGGATCCATAGGTAGCTGACACCATTCCTGCCTGTAAGGGATCACAGTTACACACTCTTATTTAATATACCATATGTATATTGAAGCCCTACCTTTATCACTAGAAAATTCTGGAATGTTTAGAAATAAAGTTATCACTAACGTAGTGGTTTAAGAATTCTAAGGATTTCTTCTTTTCTTTTTTAATTTTTTAAATATATTTCATCGACCTTCCACAGAGAAGAAGGGAGAGGGACAGAGAGTTAGAAACATCAATGAGAGAGATCGATCAGCTGCTTCCCCCACGCCCCCCAGTGGGGATTTGCCGGCAACCAAGGCACATGCCCTTGACCGGAATCGAACCCGGGACCCTTGAGTTCGAAGCCGACGCTCTATCCACTGAGCCAAACCGGTTCGGCATCTAAGGATTTCTTAATCATTTTGGGAAGTGAGGGCTTTAACTCTTAAATAATTCTTTTTTTTAATAAACTTTTATTTGTTCATGCAGTTTTAGGTTCATAGAAAAATTGAGGGGAAGGGACAGACCTTATTTTTAATTTCAGTAAAATATTTCATAAAATGGATGCGTATGTAACCATTCTCCCACTATGAAAATTTAATTATGCAATGTTTACTATTACAAATAATGATGCAATCCTGATACATGCCTCTTTGTGCCCATATATGGACATTTAGGAGAGGTACCAAGAAGTGAAGTTATTTGACTGAATCGTGCTGTTTATTTAAAAGATAAAAGATGCAGCCATATTATCCTCCAAAAGTTATGTGTTCCCACCAACATATTAAAGTATGTCTCTTTAGGCTCTTATCAATATTTTTTATATATATATATTTTATTGATGTTTTTACAGAGAGGAAGGGAGAGAGATAGAGAGTTAGAAACATCGGTGAGAGAGAAACATCAATCAGCTGCCTCCTGCACATCTCCTACCGGGGATGTGCCCGCAAACCAGGTACATGCCCTTGACCGGAATCAAACCCGGGACCTTTCAGTCCACAAGCCGACGCTCTATCCACTGAGCCAAACCGGTTTCGGCTCTTATCAGTATTGAGTATTACAAGCCATCCCAATTTTTGCCAGTCTCATGGGAAAAAAAAATAATAGCTTGTCTTAATTTTTTTGTTTCCTAACTGCCAAAAGGTTGAGGTTGTGGGTTTTTTTTCATTTGTTTTAGATTTTATTTTTATACTTATACAAACATGCACTGTAATCTATATATACATTTTTTACACACATGGAACCATAATGGGCACATGGTTTTGTGACTTATATTCCAAGCTAATACTCTTAATATAGGGTACAAAATATAGTCCCTTACTGTAGAAAGAAAGATGATCTATGCTAGTTTTTGGGGTAGTAACAGGAAACTTTGTAGCAGGTGTTTTTAAGCCTGGTGACAGGTGTGTAAGTGCCATTTGGAGAGAAATCCTTGGGAAGGGTTTTAACTTAAATTCATGTATGGGAAATACTCTTTTTTAAAATTTAAAAAAATTTCATTATATTATTTTTTTATACGCATCAAAAATACTTTTTATTCTCATATTACTTGCATGAAATGTGTGTCCTGGGTCACCATCTTTGCTTTCTTTTTTATAAATCGCTTTTCATTGTCTCTGACTGCAGGTGCTTTCTAAAAATTCCTTGTTGTGTTTCCTGACAATTTAAAATCTTCTCCTGTAAGTCAGGTTTGGAAATGAGGATTTTTCCAGGAATCTTTGTATTGGAAAATAGTTCTGAGTATAGAGTTGATTCTATGCCTTTTAGGGCTTCATAGCTAAGATTTCACCCTTAAAATTTAAATAGTTATTGCAAAAGAAAACAATTTTTAAAATTTATAGTACTCTAGCATGATCTTTCATTTATCCTTCTACTGAAGGATTTCCTTAGGCTTTGGATTTTTCTTACTAGTATATCCAAATTATGATTAAAAAGTTGAAATATGCATATTATTTGGATGATATCACACTGTCATCTTTCCTAAAATAATACTATTTCTACTGAAGAGAATGTGACACATTTTCAAACATATCGTCTTAGCATATGTTAATTAGGCAACAAACTTAATTCAGTATTTAAGATAAATCACAATGGAAGGGTACATAGAGTTCATCAAGTCCACCTCTCTCATGTTATAAATTAGACTGAGACTACCTTATTACTAAACTTTCCCAGATTGTTTAGCAAGTCAGTATAACATTGAAAACTATTGCCTAGGACAGTAGTCAGCAAACTCATTAGTCAACAGAGCCAAATATCAAGAGTACAACGATTGAAATTTCTTTTGAGAGCCAAATTTTTTAAACTTAAACTATATAGGTAGGTACATTGTTATTAACTTAATTAGGGTACTCCTAAACTGGCCTTTGCCAAAAACGTCCTCAATCTGATTGAGGTACGTTCGCTGAGGTCGACACCTTCCAACTCTCCCATCCACACTCGTCTTGTATACTTGTTTCGTCTATCTCAGTGGTCGGCAAACTGCGGCTTGTGAGCCACATGCGGCTCTTTGGCCCCTTGAATGTGGCTCTTCCAAAAAATATCACGTGCAGGCGTGCATGTAGAGTGCGATTGAAACTTCGTGGCACATGCGCAGAAGTCAGTGTTTTGTGGAAGAGCCACCTCAAGGGGCCAAAGAGCCGCATATGGCTCACGAGCCGCAGTTTGCCGACCACTGGCCTAGGATTTGGGGCTTCCATTTTTTTTCTTACATAAACCAGTGCTGAGTGCTATGGTTTCTAAAGTCTTGGCATGTGGCAGGCACTTTGAAACTATTTTATAGTGGTCCATTCATTTTCATAAGAAACCTGAGAGGTGACTGACATTTTATCTTTTTCAATGAAAAGGAAACTAAGGTCAGGGAGGTTGAGGTACCTTGACTGGCTTTTACATAGCTCATAAGTAGAGGTACTGGGAGTGAACTCACATCTGTCTGATTCCAAAGACCATCACGATTGGTACTTCCTGCATCTTTGACTTCTTAGGGGAGGAGGTGATTGAAAAGGGGAATGAAATATCTTGTTAAGTGCTACAGTAACTGCAAGACATGAGACTTCTCACTCCATGCTTCGGGTGAATTTTTCCATAAATTATTTTGATTAAAAAAAGATGCTTCTAACTTTCTGCCTGAACCTGTTCTTTTAGGTATCTCGTCATGAACGTCGAATTTCTCAGATTCAGCAGTTGAACCAGATGCCTTTGTATCCAACTGAGAAAATCATATGGGATGAAAATATTGTCCCAACTGAGTACTATTCAGGGGAAGGTATGATAAAGAATTACAGAATCTAGATGTAGCATGAAACTTAGTTTAGAATTCAAAAATACCCTACGTACTATTTCATTAAGATAATTTTATGGTACCCTCAAGGTCAACTTTAGAAACTAGAAACTATTTAGTATTTCGAATACTTTGCTTTAAGGATTTAAATTTTAACCATAATGTCACCAACTATTTGGTAGTGCTTTTTTAGAGGCTCTTTGAATTCCTTATAGAGCCAGGTAATGACCACCATAAAAACACATTGTCCTTTGTTAATAATTAACCTTAGTTTTGGTTCAAAACCACCTGGTTTGTTCACTTATCTATTTTAACAGATCCTTTCTAAATGCTTTTGCTCATCTAAGGATGAAGATTCACCAAAATTGAGTATATGCCAAAGTGCATTCTCACACATTTTGAAAGCATATTTCAAAAATTTGAGGTAATCTTCTGAACAACAGAATTAGAAGTAATGTGGCTACTTTAAGACATTGCCAGTGTAGCCATTGGTACATTTATTTAAAAGAAAAACTTATTTCAGAGTCATATCCTGAGATATGACTCAGGTAAGCCCAGTGTGCTAAAACTGCTAGATTTCAGAATAGGCAATCTTCATATCTCTTAATGTCTGACAGTGATTAATGCATTATTTCCTCATTTTTCTTATTTGTTCATACTAAAAGCATTAGTGACCATATATGTATGACATCTAACTCATTGACTAGTCGGTCCCTAAAGGGCAGATAACACTTAAGAATATTTTGTCTTTTTAAAAAAGTTTATGTCTCCTTAAAAATGTAAAGTCTTATAGCTAGCTTTTGATACTAGTCAATGATGCTAGTCTGAGTTTAAGACATATTTTGATTAGTAAAGTATTACTTTTCTTCCATTCCCATAGTTAATGAATTTAAATAGAAAGGAGCACTTTTCAGAATTGAAGTTTTTATACATTCATAGACTGATACTAGTTGCCAAATGGTTGGACTTCAATACAGCTGTTTTCAGAGACGTGGCTACACCTTGCTGTTATTCACTGACCATGGATGGGGCTGTGCTGTGGAGCCCAATACCTGGTGCTGTGAACTAGGCAAGACCCAAGCTCTGACTGCATGATCAGCGAGCTGCTCCAAGCTTCTAAGGAGAGAAAATAAGTATAAAATTGGGGCAGAAATAAAAAATACAGTGTGAGAATTGTAAAGAAAATCTTTGTAAAACTTTACCATTTTACAATGTCTTTTACTTTACAGGTATCCCCTATATCCCTTCCTTTTCTTTCTATTGAGGAATCTGCATATGGAAACCTGTATAGTTTCCTATAGTCTGGATTTTTCTAAGTGACTATGAGCGTGTCCCCTGCTTTTTATTTCTCTTGCAAATTGGCAACTAGATGCAGAGGCTCAATCAGGGTGAGGTTCTCTCTCTTTGGCAAGATTCTTGGTGTTAGTGTGTTTATTTTCATCGGGAGGCACATAATGTCTGATTGTCTTTTTGTCATATTAGTAGCCATTGCTGCTTAATAGCTAGATTTGTTAATTGGGTGATCATTGAAAAATGGTGACATTCTAATTGTCTTTTCTTTTTAATAAAAGTATGTTGTTGAAGGAGATGCTTTCTCTCAGCCTCTGACCTGAAAGCAATCGAATTACATTTTAAGTCAGAGTTTACTAATATTAACAATATGAAATTTTTCTACATCAATGTTTCTTGCTTTTAAGTGTGTTATTGCTTTGGTAAGGATACATAGGGATGATGAAAATATGATTTTCCAGTAAAATATGTTTTAGGTTCTTTTTTTAAAAAAAACTTTTGATATTGTTGCTGAGTGCTTGGTCATTTATTATCCATGGGAAGTACTGTTAAGTGAGGATAATGGAAAGAATATTGTTTATTAATACAGTCAGAGAAGGAAAGTACCTTGGGGAATAACGTACAATCAAGGCCTTACCCTTAAAGTATAGCAAGAAGGCAAAGGTTCAGAAGACCACAGTGGTGGTCATTGGAGATAGATTTATACAATGTGATAAACTCATTCAGTTTTCTTGGTAATTTTGTTTGGGATTCATTTTATGGTAGCATTATTTCAAGATTTGCCAAGTGTAAATTAGGTGGTAAAGGGAGAATTTTTAAACTACTCGAGACTGTATTCAAGCATCTCCAGATACTTGTTAGAAGCGCTATTCGGATATGAATCATTCATGTGCAGACTACATGTATTAATGAAATTCATCTTTTTTTAAATATATGTTTATTGATTTTAGAGAGGGAGATAGAAACATCAATGATGAGAGAGAATCATTGATCAGCTGCCTCCTGCACATCCCTTACTAGGGATCGAGCCTGCAACCCAGGCATGTGCCCTTGACTGGAATCGAATCCGGGACCCTTCACCACAGGCTGACGCTCTATCCCAGTGATGGCAAACATTTTGAGCTCGGCGTGTCAGCATTTTGAAAAACCCTACCTTAACTCTGGTGCCATGTCACATATAGAAATTTTTTGATATTTGCAACCATAGTAAAACAAAGACTTATATTTTTGATATTTATTTTATATATTTAAATGCCATTTAACAAAGAAAAATCAACCAAAAAAATGAGTTCATGGGTCACCTCTGACATGCGTGTCATGGGTTCGCCATCACTGCTCTATCCACTGACCCAAACCAGCTAGGGTTGAAATTCATCTTTTATTTTCAATTCTTAATATATAGCATTTATTAACTTGGTTTCATTTATGTGTGGTAGCAGAAATAAGACCTTATTAAATATGCTATATTTTAGATATTAAATTAGATTCTTACCAAATTTGTTATGCCCTTTTTATAGAGAGAGCAGATGTCTGATTAAAAAAAAATTCAAATATGGTTGTTATTTTTCTTTTCAGGTTGTCTTGCTCTTCCCAAGCTAAATTTGCAGTTTTTGACTCTTCATGATTACCTCCTAAGGAACTTTAATCTCTTCCGCTTAGAATCAACTTATGAAATTAGGCAGGACATTGAGGACAGTGTCAGCAGAATGAAGCCTTGGTAAGTAAATTGGTTCCACTTGCAATGCACTGATGCAGTGACTGACATACTGCTGTCAGAAAGCTCATAATGTGTTTAGAAATAATATACCTGGCACAAAGGTGCCCTCCAAAACAAGAGATACTCTTCTTTTTAAATATATTTTTATTGATTTTTTACAGAGAGGAAGGGAGAGGGATAGAGAGTTAGAAACATCAATGAGAGAGAAACATCGATCAGCTGCCTCCTGCACACCCCCTACTGGGGATGTGCCTGCAACCAAGGTACATGCCCTTGACCAGAATTGAACCTGGGGCCCTTCAGTCCATAGGCCGACACTTTATCCATTGAGCCAAACTGGTTAGTGCAGGAGATACTCTTTGAGAAATACTTTAATGTGAATGTATATCAAAAGTGCTAAAATATAAAACCTGGGTATTTGGGATGGGACTGGGGAAAAGGGAAGAGTGGTTATTATCC